TTGCGAATGAAATTTAACAATGTTGTAGACTAGATCTACCCTGTTCAGATGTGGCCGCCGACACAGATCAAAGCGACTGTCCCTGATCAATCCCAAACTAAAACCAGATTCACTATCGTATCGGGAAAAAAGTCAAAGATTTTGAGAAACCAAGACACAGCAAATCTAAAATGAAAAACACAAAATCAGTAGGCTCTGAACGTGTTCAATGGTAAGAGACATAAAATTTATCTAGCTTTATAAAAAAAGACGTAAAAAGGTAAGGAAAGAAACTTAGATTAAACAAACAAACAAAATTGCCTACCATTCTACCCATAGACGGAATTTCTATTCCGGTTTCATTCGTGACCAACTCGTGTTATTCCGGGACAAGCCGAATAGCGACTCGTGCCCCTTTTCGTGGCCATTTTTTGCGACCGGGTTCCGTCTTAGCGCAAACGGGCATACCTAAAACAATTGTCAACACGTTGGTAATGGTTCACACATTTTCCCCATATATGATATATATTTCAAATGCAATTTAAAGCACATCGGGACGTGCGGAATTATACAGTATGATTGAACCCATTTAACTGTGTCTTTGGTATATTTTTAGATGCAAGACATATGTAAAATCAAAAATTATTTCTGAGGGATTCTTTGACGAAGAACTTGAAATCATACGCGCATTCTGATTGGTTTGTCGTATTTTCGCACTTAACATTCATCGATAGGGGGACGAGTCTTCTTGCAGGTGACGGAAAGGGGCGAGTGGTGACGAATGTTCCGGTTTCTGAGTTGGCCGACCTTCTCCGTGCATTCTAGGCCGAGAAGCGGCGGCACATGAGGAAGGAAGGGGCACAGAAATGAAGCTGGCATCAGGTCATACAGTAAGTCCATCTCAGGTGACAAGAAACACCAGCTAAGCAAAGTAGTACAGCACACACGACGAATCACAAACTCCAAATATAACACACCCTGACATTGTAAATTAACACAAAACACACAAGTTTCAGAACCCTCCGTTCAATCCCCACCAGTCCATTCCACATCGTCCGAATATGAGTTTGCGATTATCCAAACACAAGCAACACATTCATAAATCAGTGATATTCCCAATTTGCTAGTGCCACGGGAGAGTTCATGCATCAGGGTATTTTCCACAACTGTTCCATAAACTTCATTTTCAACAGCAGTAGGTATTAATTTCACCCTCATGCTCCCGTTCGACTCGAAATGCACCTCTTTACAAACTTATGTGATATCATATATACATCCATACTTGATGGTTGAGCTCAACTCGGTGCATCGAGTCATGTTTATATTTTTGTTCACATTCCTGTTATCAATTATTAAGATTTGATTAATCCCAAATATCGTTTGTCAATGTGTTCAGAGAATAAAATTATGTTGATGTTGACATATTTTCAGATTATGTGGTATATATTCATAGACCTATTTTATTTTGCGTAACTGAGTATGAGTGGGGAAACGTATGTGACCGAGAGCCGGCAAAAACCGACAAAATAACATTGTTGCAATGTTCTTCCGCGAATCCAGAGAACTTCAAATTTAAGCAAACATTGTTACGATATTATTCGGCGAGACCAGTAAACCGCAAGCTCGGAGGTTCACGCAGTTTAACCAGCGCTTTGAAATCGTTCACACTTCAATGAACCCATCCAAACTGATATTCAATGCTTAAAAAGTTACCTTTATTATCAACATTGAGATCACATGCACATCCAAATGTGTAAGAGCATGTGAGGGGTTGTTTAAACGTTCTTGCCTAAATAAGCAACTGGTTATGAGGCGTGGACGATGCTTCCACTCCTTCTCAATGGTAATTACATTTCTGGCTGATTCATTATCAACATATATCTATTGGATAGTTCAGCTTTATCACCATTCAACCCGCCACTGGTGCTCCTCGTGCCTTTGTTGCCAAACGATTGGATAGCCCACCGGTTACATCATTTATTTTCGCGAAAACGTAGAAAACAAAAATTCGATTCCACACATAGGTGGTACAATTCATGAAGCCTTTTCCAGCGTTATTCTACTTGTATTTGCTGATATAGCCCAACTCATGCATTAATATACAGACATAAACCTATATTCAGACACAAAGGCCCGTAGACACGCCCTCGACCATACGGCACAACCTCCTGAACGCAACACGCCGACGTTCGTCTGAGACCTGCGTCATTTCAGGCTTTCCTCCCTCATTAAGCTGACACGCCGTGATATAACTGGAATACTGTTCAAAGCGGCTTTAAATATCAATAAGTGTTTGTAACTTTTCTCATAAATGTGTATTTAGCGACATCAGGAAATGAGCATACTTTCTAACCAAATAGGTAATGAATTCAACAAGTGGTACCATATCTTGAATATCATAGTTAACGTAGGACAATCCATAAATTTACCTGCCTGTAACCAATGGTTATCCGTAACAGGCGACTAACGGGATCGGGTGGTCAGGCTTGCTGAGTGGGTTGATGCATGACACCGTATCCCCATTGCGTAGATCGATGCTCATGGTGTCAATCACTTAATTGTCTGGTCCAGGCTCGATTGTTTATAGACCGCCGTCATAGAGCTGGAATATTGCTGAGTGTGGCGAGAAACAAACAAACAAACAAAGAAACTCTGCCTGTAGGTTTCTGTGATGGTTTCCTGTTTTTGTGAAACGTGAATGTGGGGGCTATACTGTCTTTCAACCACGGAGTCATTAACTTACTCACTCATTCTATATCCTCCCTGGGTGCGGTTTCATCACCTCAACGATTTTCACTGTTTTCGATTTCACGACCCACAGTTCAAGCGGCGGTACAAAAATCTCCAGTCCCTTCATGTTGGTTGAATGTTGTACTGTACAGGTCAAGGGTGAGACGGGCATGACATGGAAACCAAACGCTTTAGGCTTGCACATACAAAATGAAGAGGTTTAATGTGTATAGTGTCAGTGACAAATTTCCCGGATCAAAATGATCACAACAAGAACATGCAAACCATTAGTCGGGAAACACGTACGATTCGGAAAAACGCACCCAGTGCATTAACAAAAGGGCCATGAAGCTGCACGTACTGCATGCAGCAGCACTATAAACGGTATTAAAGTGCTGGATTTTTTTATTGCCTGGCATCTGCGTCAATCGAAAAGTGACAGTTCATCAACATGCCAAGATTAACAGAAGTGCAAAGAAACAACGTCATGGGCCGCTTGTAGGCAGGGGAATCCCGATCAGCTGTAGCCAGGGTTTCAATGTAGCGCCCAGCACTATCACAAGGCTATGGGGTGGGATCGGTTTCAACAACATGGGTCAACACGTGATCGGCCAAGGTCGGAACGACTAAGAGTAACCACCCCCGCCAAAGATCGCTATGACTGCGCCACCTACGTGAAAGGACGACCACTGCCACACCAACCGCATCCCAAATTCCCGGACAGAGCAGAATCTGTGACGAGACCGTACGAAACCGTTTAAGAGCAGCAGGTCTACGAGCAAGACGTCCTGTTCGACGCGTCATACTGAGTCGACAACATCGTCAACAACGACTGTTCGACGCGTCATATTGAGTCGACAATATCGCCAACAACGACTGCACTGGTGTCAACACAGGGTATGGACTCGAGGGGATGGAAGAGCACGGGTCTGCAGACGTCGGAGAGAACATTTCGCCGGAAACTGCGTACGGGAAGTGGACAGGTTTCGTGGGGGTAGGGTTATGACGTGGGCGGCTATCTCTCATCATGGCAGGAGAGGTTTGGTCCATATCCAGTGCAATCTTACGGCTCAACGATGCATCAACGAAATTCTCCTACCACACGTCCTCCCAATGCAGCCAACGGCAACGGTGTATTCCATCAGGACAACGCTCGTCCGCATACATCACTGATCACAAGAGCCTGTCTACACACCAACGTTGATGTTCTCCCCTGGCCCTCCAGATCCCTGGACTTGAACCCGATAGTGCACCTGTTGGATGAAATGGATAAACAGCTACGCCGACGTCAACCACAACCTCAGACGTCGCAGCAGTTGGCTTTTACGTTGCAGGCCGAGTGGGCTACCATTCCCCAATACGTGATTCACATACTCGTCTCTTCCATGGGCAGGAGATGTCAGGCCGCTATCGATTCCAACAGGGGACATACGCGTTATTGATGATAGCTGACCTTCACCTTGGACTTTTCCTATGTACCGATAACTGAGATGACTACAATCACCAAGTGTTCTCTCCACAACATTTTGGCTCAATACCTTGTACGGCTGCTCGTATAAATGTATTTTCCTACCTCACACAAATCTGGCTTTGCGTTTCTTTTTTGGAAGAGTATATCATGACAAGACAACATTTTCGGTTTACCATAGAAACGTCTGGAACAGGGATTAATATGTTGAGAGGGAGTCACCAAGTTCAGAAGCAATAATTGTTAATGTAACCTAATGTTAATGTAATTGATATAATAGGTTTACTATAGTTCTGATGATACAGGGTTACCTCAAAAACGTTATTTATTCAACGGTACTTAGTCTTCCTGCCATTCAAGACTACAAGAGGCAACTTAGAGAGTATTTAACAGTTTTCAGAAAGTCCGCCACAAATACAGTACCATGTAGGCTTCTCTACAGGGTGGCACGGGTGGCCCAGTCGTCTAAGGCGCCGCGATTCGCTGTGCAGAGTTGCGTCCCTTGGGCGAACCAGAAACCTATGATTGTGGGTTCGAATCCCGGTTAGCCCTGATTATGTTTCTAGGTTAGTCAGCACCATACCCATGCTCGTGGGTTTCACCGAAGTGGTACACGTCTGAGACCTGCATCACTTCGGGCTTTCCTCCCACATTAAGCTGACACGCCGCGATATAACTGTAATACTGTTAAAAGCGGCGTTAAACACAACTCACTCACTCACTATTCTGTACAGTACCATGCAGTGCCCTATACAGTACCAGTGTCTGTTAGGCTGACAGAGAGACATCCCCAATATAACTTAAAACAATCAGGACAAACATATTTTCTCAGCAAGAACAGACCTTTATTGACCGAAATCATAACTCCTCGTTTACTTCTATGTACAGACTGATTCCCGTACACGTAGGCAGATGAGAATAGTGAAACTCGTGACAAATAATTTTGAATAAAAATAGTGTTCAATAAATCTTTCAAAATTCATGTTTAATATGCATACCACAAAAACAGTGAGTAAGATTGAATTCCCTAAACTGTTGTAATCGACATAAGATATGAAAGTCATTGAAACATAAAGAAATATATGTTTCTAATAAATACCAGTACTATCACTTATATTTACACAGTCTGTAAGCACATATATGTCATCCACTTAACCAAGGAGGAGAACGATTCCAGTAGCACAGTAAAGCAGTCCCCCAATTATTGTCAGCGCAAAAGACCAGCTCAAGTTCATTGTCTTATACTCTTCTGTACCCTTGGCAGCAAAGACGATGATTCCAATAATGGTAAATCCAGCTGTAAAACACAAACATTCTAATGTGAACCGAAGAGAACACTCCCAATATTGTACAATATTTTGTAACTTTACAAATGCACATGTACACACAGCGTATCTTCCCAATAATGTATTAACTTATTGTCCCTGAAAATTCTCGAAACAAATGTACATGTTGCAGACGGTTGGACGAATAAGAAATTGCTTTCCATAAAAATTACATTCCTGCAAGGTATTTCTCTTTTTCTTTAAATCAGGCTCATATTTTTTTGTAAAAAAAATATATCGACTATAGGTGAAAAAATATCTGATCTAGATGTAATATACAAGCCTCTCCCTCCCCCCCCCCCCCCCCCCCCCCCCCCACCACCACCCGTCAGAATATCAAACGGTCGGTCCCTTAGGAAAGCCTCTGATACTGGAAAGGCTTTTTGTTGCTTATATTTCATGAAGAATGAGGGGAGGTGTGATTCGTGCTTAATTCATATAGGCCAATGGAAACAAACATATAATAGCATTTACTATAAAGCAATCAAACGCGAAGTTTGCGCCTTTCGGGAGAAAATGCTTTCGTTAATTGTCTTACTTGCAGCAAACGCCAGAAGGAACCCAAGGAATATTACAAACATAATAGGAACCAATACAAATAATATTTAGCGCCTTTCAGAAAAAGAACTGTTTTCTCAAGTAGTCTTACCCGCAGCAAAAGCCAGAAGAAACACAATGGTTTTGAACCAGAATTGTATTTGTTTCAGTTTTCTTACCGGCAGCAAAGGAGAGAGCGAGCCCAACTGTTTTGAACAACATTTGGTCTGTCTTGAAAAACAGGTAGACAATGATGACAGCCAGAGACCCCAGGCCAAGCAGGAACCCCAGGATCACCAGAGCCTTGGTGCCTTTCAACCAGTCCTCTGCAATGAAACACCCGCGAAAGCTGATTGATTGACTATTATTGACATGTTTAGTGAGGCTATCATACTGACTATTATCGCAACTGCTGCTTTGAAAACCTGCATTTTTTATGTTACAATAGCTGTATAACAAAAGTTATAAATATTGCAAATAAATGTCGGCGAATTCTGTAAACCAAGTAAATAAGTTGGTCTCGTTTTTTGTCTATTTAAGGGAAGTAGGTTTTATACTCTGTCTGTCAAAAGGGGCCAAGCATTCGAGTCTGTAGATGGCATTATATTGTAGCAGTGAAACCACAAGGCTTCTACGTTGTATAGTTGAGTTGGGTTTAACACCACTTTTAGCAATATTCCACGACGGTGACACCAGAAATGAACTTACCCATGTGAGGAATCGAATCGAACATGGGTCTTCGGTATGACGAGCGAACGCTTTAACTACTAGGTACGACATGATAAAGGAAGGAGTTCATAACAATGGCAATATATCGGACAATTTCAAGGTTGTATTAATTTTCTTCCTCTCTTTTCCTTTTTAATAAATGAATCACTCGAATTTATCACAATTGTGATAATAAAATACAGCTACAAGTCGAGAATCATTCTTACTTCGTGAGCTGACGAAGTTGACATGTTATTTAGCACTGTCTGTGGTTTACAAATGAAGGACAACTTGACATCTTGAATCATTTCTGTGAAATTGAAACGGAAAATCAATTAAACGAAATAAAGCTTAGAAAATCTATTAAAATATTTTGTGATTATGTATGTTACCCTCCTCTAGGGGAATAAAGACTATATGTATGAGTTTCAACTCGAACGTCAAACAAACTATACACTCTTCAAAAAAAGAAACGCACAGGTCGATTTGCAATGTCTTAAACGGCATTGTCTTCACACTTGTTCAAAAATGTCATGGAGGAAAACAGTAAAGCAAAATGCATGTGTAAGTTATGGCATTCGTAACTCGTGGTATTGGCTATAAAAAGGCAAGCATAAGCCAATAATGTGTCATTCAATTGGCAACATTTTTCAAGTTCGAAAATGCTGAGACTCAACGTTGCCGATCGGAACATCACCACAGGACGTATCCAAAGAGGGAAATCGCAGTCCTCTGTTACACGCCACTTTAACGTCCACCACAGCACCATTTGCCGCCTTTGTGACTGATACACACAGTTCAATTCCACTGCAGACCGTCCGAAAACCGGCCGACCAAGAGTTACAACCCATGCACAGGATCGCTACATTCGACTGTTCCACCTACGTCATCGCAATGCCACAGCTACGGAGACTGCAGGACGCATCCCTGGTTTGAGGAGGGTATCGGACCAGACTGTCGGGAACCATCTTCGCGAGGCTGAAATCCGACCCAGCAGACCGGTTATCGATCTTGTTTTGCAACAGATCCATCGACAGTAACGCTTGCGTTGGTGCCATACCTTACTGCCTTGGAATTTGAAAAACTGGAGACGAGTGTGGTTTAGCGATGAATCACGATTTCTTCTTCACCGGCGAGATGGAAGACAACGTGTTTATCGTCGTCGAAATGAACGTTTCGCACCACATTGTGTACGTAAATTCGAAAATTTCAGTGGCGGTAGTGTCATGGCGTGGGGGGCCATATCCTACACCACGAGATCTGACTTTGTTGTGGTTCAGGGAAATTTGACAGCAAATCGCTACATGAATCAAATTCTTCTCACCTTCTTCCAATCATTGACCGCCAGAGGGATCTTTTTCAACAGGACAACGCTCCACCGCTCACAGCTCGTATCACGGTAGACTACCTTCATAATGCCAACATCAACGGCTTGTCCTGGCCGTTGAGATCTCCAGATCTCAACCCAATCAAACACCTCTGGGATGAACTCGATCGACGTGTACGTCAGACGTGCACGCCGCAGACACTCCCACAACTGGCCAACGCGTTACAAGCAGAATGGCGCAGAATTCCGAAGAACAGAATTCGTACACTTATCCAGTCAGTGCCCAGAAGATGCAGAACCGTGATTGCTGCCCGGGGCGGTCACACGAGATACTGAGTTCAGCGCAACCTTGTGGCCTTATGTGACATGACAACGAACTGTTTGTACAACGACAGCATGTGACGATCGAGCTCCAAAATTTCATATTTGTATCTATGACATTAAATTAAATATATCGACTTTATTAGGTACCATAAATTCACTAAAAATCTTCCTGTGCGTTTTATTTTTTGAAGAGTATATATATACTCAAAGCATATACAAACTACTACTACCTCTACTTCTACTACTACTAGCAGTAGAAGTATTTCATTTGTATCAGGGCGCATCAGCTTAATGTGTGAGGGAAGCCCAAAGTGATACAGGTCTCAGACGTTTACCACTTTGGTGAAACCAACTGGCATGGAGTTGCTGAAGATCAGTTCTAACCTAGATCTACGCTAGTCTACATCTAACGTTTTAGATCTCCCTTATCATTTGCTTTGTGTTTGCAAGCGTTTGTGACGGGTGCCACCGCTGGAGCAGGAAACGCTCACCTCCACGCGAACACGCGGTATCATAACCATTTAACAGTGATTCGCATGCTCATAATCGGAATCGTACAATCGACTCTGCTTCGAGCAGACGTTTCTTATGAAAATGGAAGGGGTTGTGTCGCGTTAATTCACAGCAACATGCATGTGTTGATTTCTGTCAGAGAAGCGTTTGCTCTGTTTTTAAGTTGTTCGCTTTTGCCATAGACTATATCCTTTTCAGTGCCCTTGATAAATTATTCTTACTTTAATGTGGATCATTTAGATAACCGATAAAGATACCCTGATATCGATATTGATACTTACCATCCGTGTCCATTGAAACACACACTGCAGCAGCGCATCTTTTGAATAACCCCATGCTTAGATCGATCGAACCAATGAAACCAGAATTTAAACTTCCTGTCATCCAAGAATCAGTTGCAAATCCGATGACATCAAATAAAAGAGCGGCTCCTGCCAGACCCAGTCCAACCTTTGACAGCACAGACGCCTCCGAGAAGCCCATGTTTCTTCTTCAGGCAGAATGCAGGTGTAATGGTGACAGGTGAAATCTGAGAACAAATCACTGGGAGGACCGCACGCATTTTTATATCTTAAGCAGTGTGTTTTGGTCGTTATCGCCTGGTTACTTAGTTATTTTTGAACATACTTCTCAAATTCAACCAATCCGAATGGCACTGACAAAGACGCAATATTGCGAGTCAGTGTTAGCCAATGGGAGAATCCATTACAATTTGGTGAAAGATGGTTGGTAGTACGTTAAATGTAAAGCCGAGGTATTGTGGGTATAGCTATAGCTTTAACATGTCAGTACTTGAGTCGTCATTATAGGTTGTAGCAGGATCACGAGGGAAACATGGGGCTTTATGCGTCCAGCTTTAGGTTTTATAAAACGAGCCGGAGGCCGGAGGCGAGTGGTATGAAACCTAACGAGGCACGCATATAACCCCATGTATCCGACTTATCCTGCTACAACGAATTTATCTTACCGATATTTTTAATATGACATGGTAATTCAAACAAATTCAAAATTGATAGAAAACAGATAGAAATTGATCAGAAATCCACCTTAAGCCTTGCTCGTGGCGGGGTATAAGAGATGTATTCCCCCACTGAGAAATTCATTCCCCTCCAAGCCGGGATACACAGTATTTTATAAAGATTACGTGGACCAAACAGATCTCATCATTATGACATGGAGGTATGATAAAGGTCTTTGTAGCAACGTCTCACGTTCGTCTCCTATGTGAACTGTAACAGTATTGGCATAGGAAACAAGCAAACTTTTAACCAGATGGGCAATGCATTCGAAGAAATAGAACCTATGTTGAATATCATAACTAAATAGGACAATCAATAAGTTCACCTGCCTGTATACGTGGATCGATGATCCATTCCTCTTTTTGGGGGAAAATGAATGTACATATATCGCGTTGCTTTGATGATTCATTCTATACTGTTCAACTCACTCACTCACTCATTCGATATCATCCCTTAACCCGATTCATCACGTTAACGATGTTCGCTACTTCCGTTTTTTTCAAGTGTCTTAAAAGTGTATAAGCACATGTGAAAATAAGGCACGAATGAATCTGTTCATATCGCGAGAGCTTTTGTAAATGTCATTTCAAGCTTAATACAGATCTAGATACCAACATCCGGTCGCCAAGCGGCGTTTGTTGTTAATAAAAGTAATCTCCAGTCCCTGTAAAGTGGTTGCATGTTGCGCTGTAGGGGCAAAGTGAGACAAGCATGCCATTAAAACCAAACGCTCTAGGCATGCACATACATATGCTGTGTATTAACACGTTTTGCGTGTCTTCTCATGTTAATGACATGTTGAACAATTCAACATAGGTTTGTCAAAATGTAGACATGTGTGTAAGAACTATTACGAAATAAACCAACACCTTCCAAATCTTGTTCTAATCACATGTAGTAAGTGCGCTTGGTTAGCCTAGTGGTTAGAGCGTCTCTTGTCACGGCGAAGACCCGGGTTCGATTCCCCACATGGGTGCAATGTGTGAAGCCCATTTCTGGAGTCCCCCGCTGTAATATTGCTGGAATATTGCTAAAAGCGGCGTAAAAAATACTCACTCACTCACAGGTGGTAGCTTATATATGGTTGGTATGACTATTTGCGAGGATCTCAAGAATGTCATCAATTATGAATTTCAGCTATTATCTAAACACGATGACCAGCAACACAGCGATCTAAGCAGTAAAATGTTAACGTTATTACTTCGCATAGGGAACCAGAGTGTCTTTCCCGGATGTTTAAACACAAAGATAAGAGATGACATGGTAGTCACCTTTTCTTAGAACACTTAAGTGTTTGTTTTCCAGGAAAAGCTGACAAGGTTGACGTACGTGGTTGAGCTGTCTACCACACAGGTGTACCAACATGACCGTTTAATGGCGGAATTGAGGTACCTCTTCTGTAACTAAATGAATACAGCCTGTTGATTTTTACATAAACCGAAATATTATGAAAAGACGAAGTTTTGCCCGGTATATCATTAAATGCTTGGGACAGGGATTAGTATAAAGAGAGACAGTTAGCTTTTTCTATCAACATTGAGACCACATGCAAATCCAAATGTAAAAGAGTACACTAGTTGATAGTCGAAAGTCGAAAATTCAAATTCAGTAGCAATGATTGTTGAGGTAACCTTTCATGGTTGTCGGCAATTGGGATCTCACAATTTATTAATAAGGTTTATTACAGTTCGTTGTATTCTGAGGGACCGCCTCCGTGGTCAAGTGGTAGAGCGTCTGCCCGGAGAGCGGAAGGTCCGGGTTCGAATCCCAGCCGCGTCATACTAAAACACGTTAAACACCCTGGCTGGCGCTCAGCATTAAGGGGCTAAATCTGTTCGGCTTGGAGTCAGTATACTGTGTCTGGGTGGGGTATTCATGTTAAACTGCAGCATGGTATCGATCCTCATGATGTCAATCACTGAATTGTCTGGTCCAGACTCGATTATTTACAGACCGCCGTCATATAGCTGAAATATTGCTGAGAGCGGCGTTAAACAACAAACTAACAAACAAACAAAACATTATTCTATACTGTACCCATATACCAATGCAACACTCCAAACAGCATTCTGTGCAGAAGGTGCATGGGCACAACGGGACTAAGGTCGAAGGTAAAAGTACACGAGCTTTCAGCGAGGAAAATGCAACTTGTGTTTCATTACGAATTCAATCTTCCAGAGATTTTCAGTTCAATATATTTGTGTGAAGATCAGATCTGCCTTGTGGCCAGCCTCGGACTACAGCATTGTAACTTCAAGTGCAAACACGGTTTGTGTCTTTACAGGGAAGTGACGTCATATCGAACGCTATGACGTCATGATATCCACACAGACTTGTATTGGACTATATACGCGGACTTGCATTGGATTTTACAAGACGTCGGCTGGCCAATCAGCTTGCTAAATTCTTTGACGAGTAAAGGTAATATCTTATACAGCACCATGGGGTGGGGTGAAATGGTTTTTTAACGTCGCGTTCCCGATTATTGTCGACTCTCTTTGCACAAGACCAGGGAGAGGGTCGTATCGTGAGCCTAACTATAGATTACCCAGTCCAGTATGCCACACTGCAAGCCGTGCAGTACCCCACAGACAACCTCGTGCTGTCCCAAGAACCTCACCGATCAACTGCCCATACAGTTGTATCTCATGCAATGTACCAGCAGTATCATGTGCAGCACCCCGTGAAGTTTAACATGCAATCTAGCAAGCAGTATCCCATGCAATAGCCCGTTCCCATCCCGTGCAGATCCCCTTGCGCTGTGCAACTAGCTTCAACTGTTTTCCCACGTAGTATCGCTAGCATTCATGGATTTTCGCATGCTGCATATCATGTAATCACTAATCCACTTCCCCATGCGGTATAATGTTGTAATCCATGCAATAATCCATGCAATACTCCGTGTAATAACCATGCAGTGTCCAATAAAAATACGAACACTTTTTCTAGACTCAGTTGAACAGATTAAAATTTCACTGATCGATATTATCGTGCCTTGACAGTTATAATCTATATATCCTCTATGCACCTGCCAACTTAACACAAAAAAATCCATTTTAACAAAAAGTTTCCGTCTTGAGACCTGTTATCTGGATGACCTCGACATTCACTGGGGTTTAACGTCGCGCCCAAGATTATTGCACTTATATAGCGACGTGCATGCACGTGTGTGTGTGCGTGTGTGTGGCTGGTGCCGATTTAGTGTGCCAGCCCACTGAGATACCATGCCGCAGTTTAACATGAATACCCCACTCAGACACAGTCCTTCTTTTAGCCCCTTAATGCCGAGCGCCAGACAGGGTAACAACAAGTACCATCTTTTAACGTCTTTTGGCATGACGCGACCGAGGATCGAACCCCGGACCTTCCGCTCTCCGGGCGGATACTCTACCACAAGACCAGGGAGGCGGTCAATGAAATGTAGATGTTAATACCATGTATACGGGACTCTTAATATTACTCATGAATATTCATGACGAGATTCAAAACGAGGCGGACTGTCCAAAATATACCGGAAGTGATGCAGTCGAAATGGCGCGCTCTTCGGAAGAAACAACCACCGATCTTCGATGTGTTCCACAACTTACACTTGCGTATGTCGAGAAGTATGTGGTCGATAATTGCAGAAGTTCGGGGGAAGAGAACCTGGACAAAGGATTTATGTACTATAGCGAAGGATATGTACATCGCATACGCAGTAAGTAAATGTCATCATGCTGCCTAGTCGCTTCTAGTATTCTCGCGGGTAGGGGTTCCATATCTCCCAGCCCGCACCCCTGTTTGGTTGTGTTTTATGGTGGTAAGATAACGACACGGTGAGGACAGTTCGCTAAAAAAACGTTTGAAATCAATGTATTGGTATGCATGAAATAATCTAGTGATAAGTGAAACAAGCATTCATGCAATAGACTCATCTACACTGTTTGGGTCCCACTGTTTCAAACAATATACTGTCAACATTTAAAAAATAACTTATGTCTAGTGGCTCTTGGCTAAGCTCCAAACCTTCTCGTTACCGGTATCTGAACAGCTCGTCTGCTTGTCTGTGCATATTTGTTGGACATATCACATCCATTATGTGATCGCAATTCATTGGTCTAAGGTAGGTCAAAGTTTTGGTGCTTTACCGGTTACATCCTTAAAAAATGGTCGCTGGCATAAAAGTTCCTGAAATTTACCCTGCCGAAAAAATGAAAAATGTTGACTGTTCTTAAAAGATTGAAGTCTAGGCCTTTATATTGACAGTTTTAGAAACACATTGTATAACACAGAAACACTAATATTGTCGTCGGAGAGGTTCCCTAATTTTCTAATTCTATTTTTCTTATGTGCAGTTAAAATGATGTAGATCTAGAGCCTAAACAGTTTTCTGAATGTTTTCAGCATCAAAGTTTGATGATGGCTGCCGAGTATCAGCAAGGTGTTACCATTTACAGAGGAGGAATGAGCCTGCACACACTATCGAGGTATAGTTAACTAAAAGAATTTATGATTTTCAAATCATTGGATGAATTGATCATGTTAATAAATCATAAATAGTAAGGCAATAAAGACTCACACCCGTAGCCTGTGTTGGATCTTCTATTTGCCATCACAAACCCCGGTTACAGAAACATAAACAACTCATCAATTAATAACATTGTCCGAGGTCGACCTGCAAGAGAAACGGAATCTGAAATAATATGCACTTCTCATGTTGGATGCACAGGGCTGTATAAAAGACGAAAAGGCACAAAACGAGGTATCTGTCCTAAAACCTGTATAATACCGTATCAAAGAATTGGCATGAGTAAAACGAGTAACACCAAATTTTTCCATTTGCATTTGTTCTTGTAAATGTTGACATTTTGCAGTCAATCTTTTGCCCTCTTCTTCTCTTTTTTTCAGTTCAGCTTCAAGGAAGCTTGTGTTGTCCTGGGTACACTCAGGTGATTCCTCCCTTAGAGGGCCTGTTCCAGAGGTGAAATGTTACTTCTGGAAAGAAATAAACATTTTATGGCCGTAATGGAAATTAATCTCAGGCAATTTTGACTCACATTGAGCGAAACATGAATATTTTATGCTCATAAAGCATGTGAACTTTGGTAATGAAACACCATTGAAAATTAAACATCAGACAGGAAACAGGATATACTATGCATTGATGAGATACATCAATAACAACGAATAAACAACACATACCCATGTACTTCAACTTCAGCAAGCACTTTCCTTGCATGGGCAGATGGCGGTGCTGCTCTACGTCTTGGCGGCTTCCTCTGTGAACCAGGCTGGGTCCAAGCAAAGACTGAAGGGACAGAACCTAAAAACATTAAATATCATGTGGGAAGCTAACCATGCTCTTAAAATAGATGTTGAGACCATATATGTACTGCTGATCACAAAATTATACAATTCAAGAAGATTTGGTTTTAATACATAACATCACTGACATGTGTACTCAATAATATCTCAATCACATACCTGGTTGACTAACGGGATCGGGTGGTCAGGCTCGCTGACTTGGTTGATGCATGTCATCGATCCCAATTGCGTAGATCAATGCTCATGATGTCAATGACTGGATTGTCTGGTCCAGACTCGATTATTTACAGACCACCTTCATATAGCTGGAATATTGCTGAGTGCGGCGTTAAACAACCAACCAACCAACCAACCAACCAACCAACCATACCTGGTTGCAGTCAGGTTTTGCAAATAGTTTTCCTCTTCTCTTCATCCCTGAAATGCTTGCCACACACTACAGTGCTGTTGGATATCTGTGACAAAAATAATGCAGGAATAATGTTAATTCATGTGCAAGATAGACCATTAATATGTTTACATTTTGGTCATTACCATATTTGCTCTTTCAACAATAACTTTTTAGGCCTTACCTTCTTCCTAGTCATGATTTTGCCAGCGAGTATTCTAATTTCACGAGTATCGAAGCTCGGTTCGTGAAATGTTCACAAACGATACATACAACCTACTGATACGACATACGACGAAACTTACAATTGAAATACCATATGATATCATCTGCACTATACTTGGATTAGATCTATTGCTATAGATCTATATTTGACAGGTTACATAGATCTATCGACACAAAATTTACTGTAATGTACGTGACTGCCTTGTGCTTCGCCTCATGAAGTTTGGATGGCGGACAGATTTAAGAGATTGTCACTGTTTTATTAACTTGTAATTATTGAAGTTTATTACGTGTATACATATATACATACTACTATGTTGAGATATTGAGTAATATAATCCCGAGTATTTAAATTAATTTTGTCAATACACTTCTGTTTAACAAATGTGTATAACTGAACAGAATTGTGTTATATTTATTGATGTTGTTACTTGTGAGGCCATGTTGGTTTATTGATTCAAATGTACACGTGCGTTTGTTTACATTCGTGAAACGACTCCCTTGACTGCGACAAATAGACTAAAATGTCCGCAACAAAATGTCATATATTAGTATATTAGTATATAAAATGTATATATTTAACAGGTACTCGAATAATTTGTTTTGAAATGTGTGACTAGTTAATCACTTTGATACATTGTTAATCTCGCGTTTTATATTATCAAAATGGACATTACACATATTATTATTGTAGTTTGGGAAGGCTTAGACTAGTTATGGCTCAAATGAACGAATGTCGCAGTCAAGGGAGTCGTGTCCCGAATGTAAACAAACGCACGTGTACATTTGAATCAATCAACCAACATAGCCTCACAACTGAGTGAGTGAGTGAGTTGGGTTTAACGCCGCTTTTAACAGTATTCCAGTTATATCACGGCGTGCCAGCATAATATGGGAGGAAAGCCCGAAGTGATGCAGGTCTAAGACGTTTACCACTTCGGTGAAACCCACGAGAACGGGTATGGTGCTGACAAACCTAGAAACATAATTGGGGCGAACCGGGATTCGAACCCACAACCATAGGTTTCTGGCGTGCCCAGGGGACGTAACTCTGCACAGCGAACCGCGGCGCCATAGACGACTGGGCCACCCGTGCCCCCTGGCCTCACAAGAAAAAAAACATCAATTAATATAACACAATTCTGTTCAGTTATACACATTTGTTAAACAAAAGCCTATTGCCAAAATTAATTTAAATACTCGGGATTATATATGCTCACACTACCCATATCCTGATGCGCATTCTAATTGGCTTGCGCCGTTTCGACGCATGGCGGCCTTTGAGATGGGGACGATCCCAATCTCATTAAAATCAGATCTAAGTTCTCGCTGCCGCTAAACAAAGATCTGAGGACATCCCATTACGGGTCACGTCAGAACGACCTTTCGCGAACTTTGACCGACAATTGAAACGATTAACAAGAATTCGACATCAGCCAATTAGAAAGCCGCTTTCTCGAGCTTTACGGTACTCGATTCACCTGACGACTTCCATTTTGACTACGCCTGAAAAATATGTTGACACTGTTCTCGATTAAAATTTTGAAAACTGAACAAACGAACATTCCAGAATGTCTAATATATGGTTGCGATTGAATGGCAGTGCTTCCCACGTACTGTTGAACGTGCCTTCCGTTCAAATGTTTATCCCACGGAAGCGAGAGACAGACGATAATTTCGACGGAATCAGTCGTACGGGCCGTCACTGTCGTTCGGAATACCCCGTTTTAACGTTTTCTAGGTTGTATGATTAGAAAACACATTCCGACTGTCACTTTCATGATCTGGTAAGCGACGCTTTGATTGGTCGGATGTAAGGTCGTTCTGACGTGACCCGTAATGGGATGTCCTCAGATCTTTGTTTAGCGACAGCGAGAACTAAGATCTGATTTTAATGAGATTGGGGACGAGCCTTAAAGGGGCACTGATCTAAAGCAATTCCCCGGGACTGGTTGTTTGCCTTTGTTATTGTTTTTTCCCCGTGAGTACCCGGATGATACGCAACGCAACTGAGCTTGACAAGAGACTGGGCTACCGTCTGCAAGGACAGTAAAATAAACTTGGGACAATATTTGTTTTACCCATTTTTGAACACTGATTGGTTAACTGTGATCTATAAAGATTTCGACAAAGGGCGCATGTTAATTAATTTCTCCAGCCTTAACAAACAGACAAAAAGAACGGCGGAGCTCATCGGTTGTCGTCATGAGTTTTAAAAAAAGTATCCATGCAGTGAAAGCATTTTCGGAGTTCGGATTGCGTCGATAATACGATTACTACTCTCTTGTTGTCATCCACGTTTTCTGGTATAACCCCTACACTTGTGTATTTGTCGTCATTCACTTGATGCTCAGTTAATGAATTTATTTCAGGTATAATTAGTGGTAGCACCACTCCAAATACCTGACGATTGCATTTATTGTGTCTGGGGTAATTATTCAATGTAAATCCAGGTTTGAAGTTGAGGTGAAATGTATGTTATGTAATATGCACGTGGCAGCCCAGCAAGAGATGAATGATCAGTTGATTTACTTTTTTTAGTAAATCAGCGGATCCTTTCCTAGTCATCAAAGGATTAACAGAAAATACATTGATTGATTAATCACTGTTATCTTGCACGGTGGATATCTCAAAAGTGAGTGTTTACATGTCTAGATTTACTAAAACAAAGGGAATACACTCATATCCTTGTGTGAAGTGCCGATGTAAAAACAATATACTTTGTTCAAAGGGTTAACCGATAATACGTTGATTAATTGCTCATTGTTATCTAACTCAATGGATTTTTTTAGGAACCGTGGACGTTATGAAAATAGTTGTCATGTGGGCTTTCTCAGCCGACCTTTGAGACTTGACACCTATGTGAAACACCTGAAACAATCTAAGTGTTCATTTGAGAAACGAACACGGGTTACAATATCCCGAAGCGATATATATATTTAAAAATATTTGATTGTTACAGAGACACGTGACATCGAATACGTTTCTTTGTACATCTGCAGACATTTGGTATATTGTTCCTTTGTGTGGATATTCAAGGATACATTCCTCGAACAAAGAAGCTGCCTAAAATTATACACATAAATTGGGTAGGTTGTAATTGTGATATTCGCATCCCCCCCCCCCCCCCCCCCCCCCCCCCTTCATTTGCAGTAGCATTTTACAGATTCATTTTTCTTCCTCTACGTCTTGGTTGGGAAATTCTTCGATGCGGGATAGACGTTGTTTTCACAAGTCTTTTTCTTTGTATATTACAGTCAATTTGTAAAATGTGATTCTCTCAGGCAATTTATAAAATGCGTAAATATTTCAGTAATTTTGACTGAATAATCTGTCCATTTCTTTAACGGAAATTGATTAAGACGATCAATAGGGCCTAAAAACATCACAATAGATTATTATGTAGGACTAGAAGCAAAACAATATAGAAATGTACTTTTCATCGCAACATCATCAGTCTCTTGGTGATGATATTAAACATAAAATATGTGTGGAATTCGTTGTCATAATAATACAGATGGACATATTTTTCAGTCAATTTGTAAAATAACTGAATATTCGGGCGTTTAATAAATTTCCTAAGTAAAAGTTTTGCACATTTTGACTGTAAAAATATAAACACGATAAAATATGCAATGCTCAGGAGAAATATTTACTTTGTGTTGGGAGTCAAAATAGTGAAAACGAAAATCACACAATTACAGGGCAAGTGACTTATCAAAACTTCCTCAGCATTCCCGATGCTACCCACAAAGATACCTACATTTCCTTATTACTTCCAAAACTGTCTTTCTTTTTGTTGATCAATGTGATCATACGCCCTTATACTATCAATAAAAGTGATAAATGCGCTTACGAATTGCACAGCACAGGTTGCGAACTAGTCTAGGTTTCTGCTATATCATCCGGGTACTCACGGGGAAAAACAATAACAAAGGCAACAACCAGTCCCGGAAATTGCTTTAGATAAGTGCCCCTTTAATTGTTGTAGGTTACGGAAACATGCGAGTGGGGACGAATGGGGATTCCCTTTACGCCGGTTAAAACTGGTTCTTGGCGTTAGCCGCGCTGCGCAAGTGGTTTATTGTGGGGCTTCCTTCTTGTCCAGGGCCCCATTCCACAAAACGATCGTAGCGCTACGACAGTCATAAGTCTATGTTAAAGTATGGGAGTAACGATCACCTTAGTACTACGATCGCTTTGTGGAACGAACCCCAGCACCTATTGCTATAGATACAAATTCACCCGAACGTGGTGATAAGGGGATGAAGGAGGACATCTCACATATGACACAACTACTTGGTGAACTGTTTGTGTACAAAAAAGTGTATTGCCAAAATTAATCAAAATACTCGGGATTATATTGCTCGAACTACCCATATCCTGACGCGCATTCTGATTGGCTTGCGCCGTTTCGACGCATGGCGGCCTTTGAGATAGGTACGAGCCTTGTAGGTAATGCCCCCGACACACTTATTCGGAATCAAGCAGAACCAGCCGGAATGAAGTATTTTCAAAATTCGTGCCACATTCGGGAGGGAATTTCAAATTGAACAAGCTTTGTAAGAATGCCGTTCGAATACTTAGAATGATCTTCGAACCCGCCTCGAATGATTCTTGCACATTCCGGGTGTAGCTCTCGAATGCAGTTCGAATGTAGTTCCACAGTATGAATATTTAGCATGCTGTTAGAATGCAGTCAGAATATTTAGAATGCACTTCGAATGCCATACAAGTGCGGTTCCATTGCTGCCCGAAGTCCGGTTGGAAGGTGCCTCGAATGCTGTACGAATTCACCTCGAATGGATTCAGAACGCGCTCGGAATGGCCGCCGAATATGGTTCGAACGTCCAAGAATTCAAACAGAATGCAGCTCGAATACTTAGAATGTACTTCGAATGTAACACGAATCTCCCGGGTGTATCAAGAATGCCGCCGGAATGCATTCCAGATGAATTCTTTTAACATCGGAATAGATACCGGCAGCAATCGAGATGCATTCCGGCTCATTCGAGGCGCATTCGGGACATTCTGGCGGGATTTTGAAGTGGCCTGGCGTTTCGGATTCTCCCTCGAATGCGATCGAATGCTGTTGGAATACCGTAAGAATATTTAGAATGCAATCAGAGTGCAGTTAGAATTCACTTCGAATGCAGTTCGATATTTCTCCACTTCGAAAGTTTCGAGCATGAGCAAAACATTCGGGCCGGCCACAAGAATGATTTCAGCACTTTCACTTGGACATTTAAATAATTTCTACGAACAATGTGAGATTTTCTCTTGGAAACTGACTAACAGCAACTTCGGAAATCGATACTGACAAGATCGCAGTTATTTGTTTCAGTTTACTTGCCCTTTAATATTCTTAGAAAGGTGTGTGTGTGTGTGTGTGTGTGTGTGTGTGTGTGTGTGTGTGTGATCTTTACCTCTGAAAGGAGAAACCTTCTATTGAACTCACAACACTTCAACAATATATTTTTGTCAAGAGACAGTGCTTTAGCGGACTTTCTTGTACCATACAACAAGTCAGCGCACATGTGATTGCAGTTCCACCAAGGAGCTGCAAATAAGTTTAAGATAAGGCAATGAGAAATGTCGTCACTGCAATGAAGTAATATATTTAGCACAGTCGGATTGCTGAGAGAGAGCGTCATAACCAATCAATTGGCCACATTGAAAACAACCTCCTCTTCCTGTGCGTGTTCCGGGACTTGATTTAAACTTGGTAGGGCTGCCATTGTGCCCAGGCCTAGGCCTACATGTATGTGCGTGTCTGCATGTGTTTGTAAAAAATACCCAATTCGGCGTACCGAAAGAAGTTATTTGGAACATCCCCCAGACCAATCCATTGTACACCACACGACAAGGCAAACATCTGACAGCAAACATGAAGAATAGCAACGGGTTTTACCATTTGATCCAACCTTTAACCGGGAAGTGATTCTGTAGCAGCTTGCATTACAACTATTTGAATGTCTACTTACTCAGGTGAAGGCAGTAGTACTCTGGGCCAGTCAGAGACCATCCGCGGAGTGGCAGGCCACGCATAACCAACAATCGACAAGACAACTGGATTCGAACAACACACCTACGAAATCGATTCCAGCCAGCAACAGTGACTGCAAGAAGCATCCCTGGCCTTCGACGAATATCTTCACAAACCGTTTGTCGTCGCCTCAGATGTGCAGGGATTGTCGCCAGATGACCCGCCAGACGTACCATTTTGACAGGAAACCACCGTCAAGCACGTCTACAGTGGTGCAGACAGCATCTACGCTGGACGGCCATGCAGTGGGGACAAGTTCTATTCACTGACGAGTCTCGTTTTCACCTCAGCCACAGCGATGGACGGATTCGAGTGTACCGACGTCGAGGTGAACGTTACGTCAATGATTGTGTCATGGAAGAAGATCAGTTCGGGGGCGTCAGCGTTATGGTATGGGGTGGGATTACAGCAAGACAGAGGACCCGTTTGATAGTGTAGAGGGAAATCTCTATGGACAGCGCTACCGCGACAAGATCACCGGCCCTGCTGTTCTACCGTTTTTGCGTCGTCATGGCCCAGGCATTACCTTTCAACATGACAGCGCCGACTTATTCAGGATTCTCTTCAACAAAACAACAGGAATGTCATCCCCTGGCCGGCTCGCTCCCCTGATCTCTCACCAATCGAGCACACGTGGGATGAGATGGATCGGTGCCTTCGCGGTCAACAACGTGTTCCACAGACACTCCAGGAACTTCGAAACATGCTCCAGCAGATATGGAGAGATATCCCACAGGACTTTGTGCGACGCCTGGTCCATTCCATGAGACGAAGATGTGTTGCTTGCATTGCAACCAGAGGAGGACACATACCCAATTGGTTTGTAAATTGACATTTTGGCATGTTCATGTTTTTTTTTTTATGAAATCACGCATTTCTGAAGTCAGTATGGCAAATTAACCATTTGAACACTTACAGGAGTCTTTTATCTGTTGCAAACCGAAATTGTTTCAGATTTGGTAAAAAACATAACTTTGGATTAAATCTTATTCAATGTCACAGGAACTTTTGTTGTTCAGTATATATTTTATAATGATATGCCATACAAGGTGAAAAATAAAAATATGCCCAAAACATGCTATTTAGTCTATCGGTTTTCATAATGATACATGTAAACTTGTCACAGTAAGAAATGTGAACTTTCAATACGACTGCCATGTTTTCGATTGGATCTGTAAGCAACTTTGAGAAGAGACACTGCTGGGATCATCCATTCAAAGTTAATCTGTGATGGAGACCGCCTCCGTGGTCTAGTGGTAGGGCGTCCGCCCGGAGAGCGGAAGGTCCGGGGTTCAATCCCCGACAGCGTCATACCAAAAGACGTTAAAAGATGGTACTTGTTGTTACCCTGTCTGGCGCTCGGCATTAAGGCCTAAACAAGGACTGGTCGGCTCGGAGTCAGTATACTATGTTTGAGTGGGGTATTCATGTTAAACTGCGGCATGGTATCTCAGTGAGCTAGCACTATAAATCGGAATCAGTCCAGACTAGTACAAGCAGCCACACAAACACACACATGTACATGCACGTCGCTATATAAGTGCAATAATCTTGGATGCGACGTTAAACCCCATTTCACCTCAACTATCTGTGATGGAACGATGGATGACACACCTTCACTGCCACTGTCCAATAGAGTAAGTAGAACAGACTACTAATAACCAAACCAAAAGTTAAGCATTTGCAGAGTTTAATTCACCACAAATACATATATACAGTTACACAATAATCAAAAACAAGTGTTGTGTGTAAAATTCATTGTTCATGATCCAAACAGTCCAACAGTTAATGAAACACTGTTCAATCATACCAGACCACCATGTAAAACACACAAGAACGTCTGGTAACGTTTCGACACATAATAGAAACAAATCCACTGCATTTGGTGGCTGGCTAATGTGTACACAAGGATCGTGAATACAATATAAAGCAGTATTAGCTGTAACTGCAAGAATGCCACTGCTCCAAGTAGTGAGTGCACCCCTGCATTCACAACCTCCCTTACACACCTGGGCAAAACAAAGAGTGAGTGAGTGAGTTGGGTCTTACGCCGCTTTAAACAGTACATTTGTATTCCAGTTACATCGCGAAGTGGGAGGAAAGCACGAGGTGATGCAGGTCTCAGATGTTTACCACTTCGGTGAAACCCATGAGCACGGGTATTGTGCTGACAAACCTAGAAACATAATTTGGGCGAACCGGGATTCGAACCCACAATCATAGGTTTCTGGCGTGCCCAAGGGACGCAACTCTGCACAGCGAATCACGGCGCCTTAGACGACTGGGCCACCCATGCCCTCTCCTGAACAAAGAGTGCCAATGACAAACCAGTTCCATTCCAATGTCAACACCTGTGCCAGTTCCTCCAGACATTTTGTGACATTTACGTATTTCAGATGAATAAAAGTCTACCATTGATAAAATTCTTTCATAGATGATCGTAATATGTCAGTTTTATTTACAATCTTAAAACAACATTTACTTGATGTTAAACTTAACAGTTAACCTTATCTGTGGCCTTGTGCCTCTGTCAGATGGAGCTGCACACATGAACATGTCTAAAGGATTTAGTGGAAGTCAACATAACTGTACAGTGTGAGTGTGTGAGTTTGGTTTTACACCGTTTTTAGCAATATTCCAGCAATATCATGGCTGGGGGCACCAGAAATGGGCTTCACACATTGTACCCATGTCGGGATTCGAACCCGGGTCTTCGGCATGACGAGCGAACGCTTCAACAACTAGGTAACCCGACCGCCCCCATAACTGTACAAGGCTAACTGGGAGGGCAAATGTCAGTCTGATCTGCGATGACAATGTGAAACACAGGAATAATTCAACAACCGAAACATACAGACCATAATCACCATTACAAGGAGGCAGCAGAATATCACTGGCCTCAAACGTTCTAGCATATACACAAAATAAATGCAAATAAATATGTTCACACTAGTGTTGTAAATACCTTAAAATAACATCATTGCCAAAAAACACCGCAATACCACTGAAATCAACCTGCAAAGTATGCCTGATTTCAACATTCAGCTCCACTGCCCTGTTGCTACACCCCCATAGCTACAACTCCACTGCCCTGTTGCTACACCGCCATAGCTACAATGGTATTGAAGGAAGGGCATGAAAGTACTAGGATGGTTGCTTGAAGATTCCCTGGCAACAAGAACACTGCTAAGTTGTGCTGGTGACATCTGCTTCTCTCGTGTTCCTCTCATCATGCGTGAGCTGCAGTAGTCTTCTTGTAGGACAGGAGCATTTTCTTCATCTCTCCAATTGCCTGACCTGGATTCAAACCCTGGAAACATAGAAAAACAATGCTCTGTTGCTGGCCTGAATTTTTCTGGAATATTAACAACATTACATTAATTATCATAATCAACGGGTAAACAATACTATGCAAAGAAATAACTGGTTTTGACATAATATAGTATCATGAATATTTCATAACCATATTCAACTGCAAGGTAAACATTCAAGATAATTTTACAATGATACATGCGGTTCGGGACATGTTCTGTTTTGAGGAACGGCCATGCCCAGTTGCGACTTCATTGTTGAAGACTATTAGTCTCTACAGTCTCTATCCACCCTCGAAGAGGGACTCAGTCTGGGAAACGCAAGGTTAACATTTAAGATTTATTAAGTATATAGGTAATAAAACATAGTGAGAATCATTTGTACATAATATTTTATCTGTGCTTGTTGGGCTGTGACAAGTTCAAAGGGCCGAACTTGTGAGATGTCACGAAGGTAGGGAGAGGCAAAAACTGTCTGACTTCCAGAAGCACCTTCCATGATGGCCGAGAGGGTGCAAACAGTGTGGAAGGCCATGGTGGAAGTAACCGCCTGGGTCTCGAGTGGGTTGGATGTTGCGGTTGGAGGCAGCCAAGCAAAAGTATCTATACACTCGAAGGATGTTGGAGCGAAGCCAAATAGAGCACAGTCAGGGAAATCTCCGAGGCGGAAGTGGAAGAGTCTCTTCTGTGATTTTCTGCATTGACGAGATGCAGTCAAATAAATAAATATGATGCCCTTGAACAGGAGAGAGGGAGAGAGGGAGAGAGATCTTCCTCGTCATCCAATCCCAAAATCGATGGGCGGGGAAATAGTAAACAACCGATCAGGCTTGGCGGGAAGTTGATTCTTTGCTAGAAAATCCCAACAAAGGCCTAGGAACACTCTTCCCCTTCTGGATCATTCGAACTGGATCCTGGTGACATCCAGGGCATGTATCACTGACGCGAAGTGCTGTAGCCAGGGCCATTCTTACCATGACAAGAAATGTTGAAATCGCCCACAAAAAAGTGAACCATCAACGCTATTGTTTAATACTTTATAGAGACTAATAATTTTTATGCTGAAAAGTGTGACTGATAGTATGCTGCCTTGATGGACACCCTGATCTTGATCGAAATGATCAGACAGGGTAGAGCCGACTCGTACTTGAAATTGTCTTGTTTAAAAATTGAGATATGAACTGAAGTTATCTGACCCTCATCCAAATTCATGCAAATCTTTTAAAATAATGTTTCCACTTTGTATTATATGCCTTCTCTAGATCGAAAAAGATTGATACAATATGTTGTTTGTTGACAATGGAATTTTTAATAAATGATTCTAAACGCACCAAATGGTCAATGGTACTTTTTAAGGGGGAAACCACACTGGATGTCACTCAGGAGGTTATTGCTCTCCAGGTACCATACTAATTATACTTTGATGATGAGGAATGGTTTGCCAAAGTGTCACCAAGTTTGTTGGCAATTTCAGATTTAGTGGTTAAATGTGTATTACCATCTTTCAGATGGTGAACTCCAGATTTGGATCCTCTGCCCTTAATGTTTTTAATCATGTTCCACACCTTGGATATGGGTGTGCCTGAATTGATTTTTGAGACAAAGTTCTTCCAGGATTGACATTTATTCTGTTTAAAGGCACATCTCGCTTTGGCGCCCGTGATTTTAACGTTATTCAAGATGTGGACAGTGGGATGTCGGCGGAAATATTGCTCAGCTTTCTACCTATTTTTTCTAGCTTGTTCATAACTATTATCAAACCATGGTTTACGTATATAAGGGTTTGCAGTGGACTTAGGAATGCTTTTATCTCCAATATCATTTAATGTATCAAAAAAAAGTTGTATAGGATCAGGAACATTCCTGAAACTGTCAGGTTTTAGTTTTTCAGAACATAGTGAATGGAATAAAGACCAATTTGCCTTTGTAAAGTTCCACCTTGTTGAGGGTGGTTTGTTAGACAGATTAATAGTTGTAAGTATTGTTGGAAAATGGTCACTTCCACAAAGGTTATCATGGACCGACCATTCGAATTCTGACATGACCCGTAATGGGATGTCCTCAGATCTTTGTTTAGCGACAGCGAGAACTAAGATCTGATTTTAATGAGATTGAGCCCACGGCAAATAGGCTTGCCCAAATCGGTCGCCTTTTACGACCAGCAATAGGATGCTGAGGACATTCTTGTTCATCCTCCCCGGGTCCAAGGGCCCCAACGGGGAAGAAGAAAGAAGATATGCATAGGATAAGTTTAGAAATTAACAGATATGTCCCTATCAAAAGTTGAAGTGTACATGTTCACAGAACTTCAGCTTTGTGAACCTTCAGGTTTTAGAGGATATGTTGAAAATGAGGCAAACCTTTACATTAGAATGAGATGAGCAAAAAATAGAAGTTCCTATTCACATGCTTCCTGTGACTTACAGAAACAAATGACACCTTCATTTAACATTTGGCTGTAACTATATATATAAAAAAATGCACTCTGCAGCATGTGTTGTATCTGTGGTAATCCATTTTTCTAAGGTTACATCACAGATGCTAAATCTCCACCTTCTCCCATCAGCATTCATTCTGGAGAGTGTCAATTATGCTACAGAAATATCTCCTGTTACGTTACGTCTCAAGGTACATGCAGCAGTTGGATGAATGGTGTCCAATACAAATGACATGTGATATTGAAAACCATGCACTTGTGACGTAATATTTGTCATAGGCTCCAGTGCCAGTATCTATCAGTAACGAGCAGTGTGCATCATACACGCAGAGAAGCATGTTCCATCCTATTCCATGAAATCTTGATTTAAGTCAAAAATTAAAATAAAATAACATTTTACGATGAAACCAGAGCCATATTAAACTATTTTGAATGACATGATCTTACAATACCCTCTATGGGGAACAATAATTTAACAATACTTCAACCCCCATTGAGGGCACGCATTTTGAGAGAATACAAGTCATAAGGTCAAAATTAATAATTGCAAAAATATTGAACATAATTGTGGAGTCCCACTACTAACTAACATTTACTAAATTTCATTACATTCAGAACCAACATGACCAAAAATCGACTTTTCGATAGGTTGCCATAGCCGCCTTATTTAATTTTTTTTTATGAAACCTCTTGAACAAATTCCGGTGACATTATTGCGGAGAACAAACTTGTGAAGTTTAAACTTTATTGGTCTAGTGGTTTATAAAGAGAGGATGTATACAGTGTGCAGAAATGTATTTTGAGAGAATTAAGGAGCATGGTCAAATCAACATCAAACTTTCAAATATCATGTGAGTGAGTGAGTCTGATTTTACGCCGCTTTTAGCAATATTCCAGCAATATCATGGCGGAGGTCACCAGAAATGGACTTCACACATTGTACCCATGTCGGGAATCGAATCCGGGTCTTCGGCGTGACGAGCGAACGCTTTAACCACTACGCTACCCGACCGCCCCTCAAATATCAGGAAAAATAGAACAAACATATGTTTAGCCCCACAACTAACCAACCACACACATACACACACCAAATTTCAGGACATTTTTAAAAGTAAAATATCTGAGTAATAGCAACAACGAGGGTTTCCAATTAGGTGTTAAGGTGGCTATATTGAAAATCGGTTGCAACCCTCCTGAACAATTGAGTGAGTGAGTATGGTTTTACGACACTTTTAGCAATATTGTAGCAATATCACGGCAGGTCCCTCTTGAACAAATTGTGGAATCATCAGTGATAGGAACAAGTATGTAAACTTTCAGTTTTGATCCAATTGTTTCTGAGGTGAAGATGATGGCGCCTGACACTAGACAAACAGGTCATGAAATAAAAATACATGACAGGTGCAGGTAGCCTGTTAAAATTCCGGACGAATATACATGAAGGCGTTCAGGTGGAGCTTTGGTGGAGGACTATACCTTTGGGCAAGTTTTGGTGCAGTTCATAATAGTGTGGCATCTGTAAACAGAGAACTTGTCCTCCATCTGGGCCAGCCTTTCATCAGTGAAGTCATCACGAGAATCAATCATCCACCTGCACAACAAAGTTAACTAATCATACTGACTCCATCTCAAAGATTAACAATAATAATAATAAAGCCATATCGGACATGTCCTTTTGCTAATGCAAACACTTTTCACCAATGCTTTTAACGAAAGCAATTTGATAGGAATATAATTCAAATAAGTTTTGACCTAAACCATGAGTGATCTTGACATTAATACAGACTGAATTGGACTATGGATTTTAGGGGCAAGACAATATTTAAGAAAAGCAAGGACCACAACACTGTTCTAGTAAAATCCTAGATATTTTTTATACTTGTATACTTATCCTGCATTACTTCTTAATGCATATTACTGCTTGTTCTTGACAGAGAAAAGAGCTGTGTGAAGGTCTATGCTTGAAGAAGTTGCTCCAACTAGCTGAGAGGCCAGCCAATAACGCAGCTCCGATGTGACCAAAGGAAGTGACGTCACGGATCCTCACATTACTCTGGAGTCCGAAACATCGGAAGGCATCATGGGGAGGTAGATCTGTGATGGGTTGGTCTCTTTAGACGCAGTAATGCAGGATAAGTATACAAATATAAAAAATATCTAGGATTTGATTAGATTTTTTACTTATCCTGCATTACTCCTTAATGCATCTTTATCGGACGGAACCGGAGGCGGGCATACCTTCAGATGTGGACTTTCATCTTCTATTTCCAGACTCTGTTCCCTAGCCAATCCTTGGCTGTGTGGTCGGCTTCGGTAGACCACTCCATGTATGGGAACCTCAAATTCCCTCAGCCCGTCCTCGGCTGTGTGGTCAGCATCAGGTGACCATTCCATGTATGGGAAACTCCGTTTCCCTCAGCCCATGGTCGGCCTGGATGACCATTACATGGAAGGGAAGAGTCAGGTATGCGTTGTGTCCTGGTACTGTGCAGCCTGACAATAACGCTCGGTTAGGTCGAGACTGGAGCACCGAGCCGTATGCAAATGAGGCATGAACCTTCTATTCCAGGGCTCACGCCAGGGGAGGTCGAAAGGCCGGCTCTGGACTTGGAGGCGAGGTCAATGACGTGTAGTAGTGGTGACCTGCTGGGCCACTACTAACGGACCAAGGCTGTGCGTGCCTTGCAGGTCCTCCAATGCGACGTCTCGCAGGTAGTGAATGGCGATGACAGCATTGGATCGCCAGAAACATCCCTCCATGATGGCGTGTAGAGAGCAGTTGCTGTGAAGCACCATGGTGGAGGCGACCGCCGGGATCTCATGCTGATTGTTGGTGCGTGGGGGGTCCAATCCCGCGTCCTCGTAGGCCTGGAGGATGACGGCTCGTAGCCAGAGGGCGATCGTGTTGCGGCTGACTTCCGCTCGCGAGGTCGCAGATACCGGTACGAAGAGGCGTCGCTGTTGTCTACGGCGTTCCTTGGATCGTCGGATGTAGCAACGAAGCACTCTAACCGGACATAGACGGAGCTCTAGTTCATCTTCCGCGCCCATAATCTATATAATCTGGCCTGGGAGCTGTTTCTTTGCAATGAAGGCCCAGCACAGCCCCAGATGCACGGCTCCGTGTGCTCCCTGCTCAAAGCGGACCCATGTGACGTCCTGGGGCGTGTAGCTCACTGACACAGGCTGCTGTGGCGAGTAGGAAGACCGTCTTTCTGAAATCCAGTCACGGAAAAAAGGAACAGTAGACTTATGTGTAGTAACTGGAAGAACAGGAAGGTCTGAGACGGTCGGGATGATGATTGAGGAGTCCCTTGGTTACACAGACACCAGATGACTGTGATGTTGTCTGTGGATATGGCAAGTACTTGGCGCTGGAGCCGTACTGCCATTGAGACACGGCCAAGATGAATGCTTCTAATTCTAGATTGATTATGTGCCATCGGAGCGCCTCCATGGAGACACCGTCTCAGACATTCGATCTCACTGTCCACCAACAGAGATATGGGCGGAGTTGAGTCGGGAGTGCTGTGGAGGTCTGTGGGTTCTGTCGACGAATAAACAGGGCCAGAAACTGCTCTGGTGGACGTTATAGTAGGCCTCTAGCTGTGAGATCCTGAGCTGGCACAAGAAGGCCCATTAATACCTGCCACTGACACAGAGTGTGAGCTTGGTGAAGGGTAGGAAGCAGATGGTGCTGTATTTTGTGCCACCTGTCATCTGGTACCAGGAGGAGATCCGTGTCCGTGCGAAACAGGCCGCCTATGAACTGGAGCTTGAAGGATGGAGTGGGTCCCCACTAAGGCTTATTGATGATCCATCCAAGTTGTGCAGTTAGATGACGCGTGAAATCCCTGTGAAGTAAAGGGTTTCCATGTCCTGATGATTCAGTAAGCGGTCGTCGATGTTCCTCAGGTGTAGGTATGCAGTAATTGGCTGGGTAATCCAGGGAAATAACAATGGGGCCATTGAAATGCCCACTGGTAGTGGATACCCTGGAAAAAGAACCTGAGGAACTTCCTGCAACTGGGGTGGATGGACACATGAAGATAAACGTCCCTGAGGTCGAGACTGATCAGGGAATCACTGGCATTGATTCTTATCTGTAGTAAGACGAAAGTAGGGAGGATGTTCCAGGTAATGCTTGTTGAAGATAGCGAGATTGTGTATTATCCAAAATTCTGAAGTCCCCGACCGCCTGCTTGAGCACCAGAAGATAAATGATCTCGAGCAAGAGCTGAGCCTGACAGGGGGGGGGGGGGTCAGTCCTATATAGGGTAAGAAGTTTACGGAGAGAACCGGTACCCCTGACGAAGGATGTTGGTGACAAATGGATCTTGAAGAATTGACAAATTGGTACAAAACCTGCCCAATCTCCCACCTACAGGTATGTCTTTGACTGGGACGACTCAGGGTGGGAGATCTGAGGCATGCTTTAACCACTAGGCTACCTGACCGTCCCACAAGTCGGTACAACAACAACTTCTGTAACCAGGACCTCTCACAGCTCCGTTTTCTAAGTAAAAAAAAAACGGCAGTGGAGGCATTAAGGTAGTAATGCAGGATAAGATAAAAAACATAAAGTTTGTTCGGTAATAGTCAGTTGTTCGGTGATACCAACACTGCTGTAAGTTATATTATTTGGTTTGTTTCTATCCTGAGGTCATATGTTCATGATGTTTGATACTCCAACTCAATACTCACCACTTTACTCACTCTGCTGCATAACTATACCTAATATCAATCTCAATCCTAATATTCATGAAGGCCTAATGTCAGAAATGTTAAAGGTTTAAAAATTTAAGGTTTTACGTTTTATACCAAAAAATAATTATGTTACTCAATTCCCCCAAAACTATGTATAAATATATATTAATATTTCTGAACTGAACAATGTTTAAGATCGAGCAAGATGCATTTGCATATGATCAACAACTACCAATTTCTTTATATTGATATGGGATGGTTTGAGCTCTATTTGAGCGTTGCACGTAGTTGCCATCTTGCCCTGGTGTCCTGAGATTGGTGTATGACATACCTGTAAGCCTGCATGAGGACAGCAGGTCCCAGGTACTTGTCAGAGTTCCACCAGTAGCTGGGGCAGGCGGTGGAGCAGCACGCACACAGTATACACTCATACAGTCCATCCTGGAACACATGCCACCATCTTCATGACCAACAACATACGCAAGTAAAAGTGCTATCGGCGAATAGGAGGAATTATAAAACTAAACAAGGGCAAAAGTGAGCATGGCTCACTAATACCCCCAACCCGCCTAGTGTGTCAGTAGTTTCAAATTAAATAATGGATAGGGTTAGGGTTTGAAAAATTCATAAAAAAATGGAAAATTAATAAAAACAATTTTTTTCTTTTGACTGCACCCCTCCATATGACACAGATTATATGTACTAAGTTTGAGATGAATCCACTGAATAGTTTAAGAGAAACTGCACGGACAAAGTTTTCGGACGGACAGACGGACCTAAAAGGTCGGGGGTATAATTAAAGTTTAACTAACTACAATCATAAACCTCTGATGATGTCACACTACAGTAACAGAAGGTTCTTTAAAAACATTAGTTAACTAGCAAGGCAGGCAATATCAACAATGACTGGGACGTTCCAGTGGAATGCCCAGGACCTGATGAATACATTTCAATTGTAAATCCTAGGTTTTACACTGTATGTAGATGTTTAGAGCCTTCAGCCCTTGGGCATTTCCCTCGCTCACAGTTTTACATTTTTAACCAAAACCTCAGAGGCATGTTTTATCCTATACATACCAGTCAGGAAGCCAGGTAAATGTGAGTGAGTGAGTGAGTGAGTATGGTATCACGCCGCTTTTAGCAATATTCCAGCAATATCACGGCGGGGGACACCAGAAATGGGCTTCACACATTGTGCCCATGTTGGGAATCGAACCCAGGTCTTCAGCATGATGAGCGAACGCTTTAACCACTAGGCTACCCCAACACCCCATTAAGAGTAAGAACACTTACTAAAAGTTCCATTGCTCCTGCAACACAAGGTTTACTTGTTGCTGCATGGAAAACCCTACTTCAGCCACAAGCAACTCACCAGCTTAGCCCGGTCAGCCACACTCTGAAGATGCTGCTCCTTTCCCACATCTGCCTCTGTCTCATTCTTCTTCTGAAGGTACGGTTCAATGGAGCGATACTGGGCATAGAAGTTGCTCATGTCCTACATACATAAATAAGCTTATCAACCTTCAGGAACATTGACACAATCAAATAAAAGTTACAAGCAGTCACATATAGTCTTCCACTTATAAACACCCTGGGTTGGGTTTTAGCGCCGCTTTGAACAGTATTCCAGGTACATGTATAACCTGGCGTAAACCCAAATGTAACCAGAACAATGCATTTTACAAGTGATTTTTTTTAGCAGATGGATCGTGTTGCTGGTGGCTGTCCCTTCAGCAGGGCAGTAAATGATGATTCAGCCCCTACTTCACCTACCGTATTCGACGTAATAAGTGCCCAGGGCTCTCTCAAAATTAGAAATAGGGGGCTCTTATTAGAATATTGTTTTGGTGAAAAAAAACATAGTTGAAAGATAAATTTCGTGGTTTATGCTGACAGCCTGAAATGTTTATATTCGACAGATATATTTTTCCAGTATTTAATTGCCCATAAATAAGGACGCATATAACACACGTGTGCATATTATACCGAATAAATAAGTCTTGTGTACATTGATCAATCGGAAGGGATGCTAATAGGGCTTGTTCACTAACCAATATATCAGCAAATATAGCCATGGGCGCTTATTAGAGGGGGGCGCTTATTACGTTAAATGCAGTATCTATATTATCTGACAATAATTATGCTTTGAAACTGTTTCGTTAACCGTCAGAATAATATTCTAAGAAGTAAACATAAACACAAACAAAGATACAACATAAACGCCAGCATACTGAGGGCCAGTATATAGCATGTTGAGGGCCAGTATATAGCATATTGAGGGCCAGTATATAGCATATTGAGGGCCAGTATATAGCATATTGAGGGCCAGTATATAGCATATTGAGAGCCAGTATATAGCATATTGAGGGCCAGTATATAGCATATTGAGGGCCAGTATATAGTAGTCACATCAAACCTGACCAGAGATGATGACATACATATCTGTTATACAAACAATTCAAATTGTTATGAATAGTAGCAGGATGATAAACTTACAGGGACGAGATCCTTGATAACATACATGTGTGGCAGGGGATATATCTTGCAGGTTTTACTCAGGTTTGTGTCGGTCTTACTGGAAAATAGAAAGTCCAAAAATAACCATGTTGACAAGCATGAACAGAATAGTCTTGAGCAAAGTAAACATCCTACTACATGACGTCATTGGATTATCTGCATATCAGATTGATAATCATGCTAATAAGTCAGCAAACACTTCCTACAGGGGCCACGGGTGGCCCAGTCGTCTAAGGCGCCGCGATTTGTGGTGCAGAAACCTATGATTGTGGGTTCGAATCCCGGTTCGCCCCGATTATGTTTGTCAGCACCATACCCATGCTCGTGGGTTTCACCGAAGTGGTAAACGTCTGAGACCTGCATCACTTCGGGCTTTCTTCCCACATTAAGCTGACACCTGTACTACTTCCTAGGTTGATACAAAAGATCAAAGAAACAAAGAGCTTTGCTCTGATTTTGGTCGTTTCTATGAACGCAAAACTGGTATCTTGTACCTTAAGGGTAGTTGGCCTTGACAAGCCTGTCATCCTTTGTATGTCTGTGTGCATGCCAAACAACGTAAGCATTAGTTACGCAAAATAGAGCATTGTTGATGAGACGGAGTAGGAAGATTGCCATGGAATTAAACAATATTCTTTGGGCAGATATTTTTACGAGTAGAAAGTGTATACAAATATTGATACACTAAATTCTATGTAATGCCAAAATTACTAGTATTTTTAAAAAAAATGAATATGTTATACATATCTAGCTGAGAATTGTAAACAATTTGACTACCCTTGCAGACAAAAAATTGTAACACAAATTCAAAATGGTGGGAATCAACGAGCACATGGCGGGAAAAAAAGACAATGTCTTTTTACACCAAAATAACCCACATGAAACTACACAACTTAGTGAAAGTAATATGAAGAGAACACATCACCCATTGCAGATAAAATTTAGAATTATATCCAAAGCTGAAGGTCTAAAATTATCCAATTTGAAGAGCTCTGCTGAGACACGTCCTAGAAGCATTAAGATAAAAAAATATTTTGAATTTACCACATCTGGTGACACACATACCCAAAGCCCCACCTGGAGGATGATATGTGCCAAATTAATCCCATTAGTATTACAGAGAAAACATCTTCAGTTTTGCCAACATAACAAATGACCTTGAGAGGGAATTTGACCTTCAGTTATGTCAAGAACTTTCCCAAGGGCTATCCAGCATATAGGGGGCAGACCATTTCATATGACATGTACCAAGTCCCTTTGACCTACAGAAAAACCTACTTGATTTAGGCAGTAAAATATTTTTAGGACCTTGACTCTTAACATGTTAACGTGATATTCATTGTGCCAAAAGATTTCCCTGGGTCACGAGGAGATATTCATGATATGATATCCCTGACAAAGCAGAAAGAGTTTCAAATGTGAAATTCCACATTATTACTTGAAATAAATCTGCAGAAAACAGCATTTCAGTGAAAACATACCAAACTGATAACCTTCCCTCTGACCTTAAATGGAATTCACTCACAACCTCTTTGCATCACAGCCCGAACCTAATGGATGACATCTACCAATTTTCATTACATTCAGTAAATGATGAAGGAGTAAGCATATACTCCAAAACGTTGTGGTCCTCATAATAAAGAAGTTGACATCAATAAATTCTCTTCCTTATTCAGTAAATGCTTCTTGAGTTATCCATCTTTAGTTATTGTTTAAACTTTTATGACATTGGGGGTGGCCTTGACCCGTGACATGACTGTCAATGTGTTATAAACATTTCTAAAGGCTACAAAGGAGAAATACCCGAAAGAATAGACCTGTTCAGGCAAATTCAGACAAAACCATAACACATCGGTACCCACTTACATTGGACTGCCAACAATACCAAAAATACCCCACTACAAGAGTGAGTGAGTGAGTATGGTTTTAAGCTGCTTTTTGCAATATTCCAGCATTATCACGGCAGGGGACACCAGAAATGGACTTCACACATTGTACCCATGTCGGGAATCGAACCCGGGTCTTAGGCGTGACGAGCGAACGCTTTAACCACTAGGCTACCCGACCGCCCATCCCACTACAAGAACATGTTAAGCAGAAGCACTTACATTATGCATGCAAGGGTGTTTGTGCCTTCAATGTTCATAGCACATGACCCACAGATACCTTCTCTGCAGGATCTTCTGAATGTCAAGGTTGGATCCATCTCATTCTTTATCTTAATTAAAGCATCAAGAACCATTGGACCACATCTGAAAACAGACAACAACTATGATTACAAAGAAAAAGAATACATTTCAAACATTGTTTTCATGCTAATTTCATGAAATGAAAAATTGTAAAGACAACTGAGGACCTGCACATCCTCAAATTCCAGATTCCAGCAATCTCTTTGAAATCAGATCTTAGTCCTCGCTGCTGCTAAACAAAGATCTGAGGACATCCCATTACGGCTCACGTCAGACCGACCTTTCTCGACCTCTGACCGACCAATGGAATTACTGACAAGAAGTCAACATTAGCCAATCAGAAGGCAGCTTTCTCGTGATTTACGGCACTAATTGCAAATTGGCGACTATGCTTCGAAACATATTTTGACAAATTCTCGCTTAAAATTTTGAAACCTGAACAAAAGAACATTCTTGAATGGCTAATAAATGGTCTAGATTGTATAGATTCAGTTGTTCAGCCCGTAACTATTGTTCGGAATACACTGTGTGAAAGTTTTCAAAGCTGCATGATTAGAAATCACATTCCGACTGTCACTTTCATGATCTGGTAAGCGACGCTCTGATTGGTCGGATGAAAGGTTGTTCTGACGTGACCCCAAATGGGATGTCCTCAGATCTTTGTTTAGCGGTAGCGAGAACTAAGATATGATTTTAATGAGATTGAGATTCCAGAGAACATGTTAGAATACTTTCAACTTTACCCTGTTTGTGAATATATACCTTGATCCAGCCTTAGTTACAACAGAGTAAAACAAATAGGTCAAACTATCTTGACATTTCCATACACTATGAGCAAACTCAAACTCGGTATCTCCTACATTTCAAATGGCAGTTCACTGAAGAGAAATGACAAAAATACAACAATGCAGCTCACTGGGTATATTCAAAATGAGCTGAATGTATATGAAGTGAAATTTTAAGCCATCAAGTAAAGTGTCTGACATGAGTGTCTTAATTATCCTGTGTTGTCTGTTATGACAACATAAACCTCATATTGATATACCGTATTCAACGTAATAAGCGTCCTGCTCTAATAAGCGCCCACGGTGATATTTGCTAATATATTGGCTTGTGAACAATCCCATTTAGCACTCCTTCCGATTGATCAATGTACACAAGACTTATTTATTCGTGTATAGTACGCACTCGTGTGTTATATGCATTCTTAATTATGGGCAATTAAATTCTGGAAAAATAAATATAATCTGTCGCATTTAAACATTTCATCTGTCAGCATAAACCACGAAATTTATCTCTCAACTCTGTTTTTTTCATCAAAATAATATTCTAATAAGAGCCCCATATTTCTAATTTTGAATGCACCCCGGGCGCTTATTACGTCAAATACGGTAGTATATATGAACAGTAACAAACATCAATGTAGCACAACATGATGATGCCTAGAAGTCAGTGGAAATGTCTCATAATGATTACGACCACCACAAAGCCCAAGCTGGATCACTGTGATCTCTATAATATATTTGAAACAATTTTCCAAAATCATAAATGTTCAGTTCTTGACCACATTGCTTTCTTTGAGAAGATTTTAAAAATTTGAAAGTATAAAATTAACCAGTTCTTAAAGGGTTTTTTAAACAGTCTGAAATGGGTAAGTGAGTTGGGTTTAACGCTGCTTTTAACAGTTTTCCAGTTATATCACGGCATGTCAGCTTAATGTGGGAGGAAAGCCCGAAGTGATGCAGGTCTCAGACGTTTTCCACTTTTCTTGAAACCCACGAGCATGGGTATGGTGCTGACAAACCTAGAAAAATAATCGGGGCGAACCGGGATTCGAATCATAGGTTTCTGGCGTGCCCAAGGGAACCAACTCTGCACAGCCTATCAGTATGCGTGACGGTCTGTCAGTGGACCATGGATTTCTGCATGTTGCACAAAAATGTCTCTACAAGCGTTATTTGTGAAATTAATAAAACAAAATTAAGTACAATAATTGATTATCCTACTAGTTATCGAATGACATGAAAAAAATGTCATAAGAAAAATAATAAACGGTCAAATTGGGAGAAAAATGTGTAAAAATCGAGCAAAATGTTCTGTTTTTGACAGCGATTTTCTCCTATGTACATATTTTTCAGAAACTAACTCGTAGTATTTTCTAAAAGCTTATTCATCGTAGAGTTACAAAATATATAAATTATTTCACGCACACCAATGCACACCCATTTTCCATCGCGTTGAAACATGTTTACTTTCTTCGAAACTGCGCGAACCGTCTCGCGTACAAGTGACTGGTCGACAAGCCGATAAAGGGAGTTAACCGATGCCTGACTAAAATGTTCAATCGGAACATCCGTCTTGTTACACTAAATGTGTCTGAATCAGAATGATGCGTGTAATATGCACGATATTTATTTAGCGGGTAGTTTCGTGGTTAGAACAAGGAGGAAATGTATTTTGATCATGTATTAGAAAAACAATTTTGCAGTGGGTAATATATTTTTAGGTGGAAGTAAAATTGTTGGAAAACAAAGTATTTCTGTGAAAAAATGAGTAATACACATAAAATATTGAAATTAAAAGAGTCTATTGCGGCACCTTAGACGAGAGGGCCATCCGCGCTCCTCTTCGTGGACTGTAGAAACTAGTACACTGAGATGTTGTACTTACTGATTCAAGTCCACTTCATAGGTCTGAACACGGGGTTTGTCACCAGTCTTGTCAGGGTCCTGCAACACAAAATTAGTGTGTGACTTGTCTAATTAACTTAAGATCAACTTCACTGACCGATCATGTCTTAGTAACTTGCAGTGAATCTTCAGATACCATTACATTTTGAACAAATTTGTTGGGTGTTGAGGGGATGTTGGGTGTGGATATTCAAATTCTGTGAAATTATTACTATCCTGTTATGGCAGCTTGGTTTTACCTTGACTTTCAAAACTTTAATATAAATCAAATCAGAGGGTCCTGTACAGTAATGAAATGGTGATGCTTACTGTACCAGAGCTCCAGATACAATACGCATCAGAAATGCAGAAATATGCAGTAAAATAAAATCCAAGCATATCAAATACGCAACGAACATTACAGATAAGCTACAAAAATAAAACTTGTGCGTATCATCAAAGTATTGTGAAGTAACCCTGTGTATTCGATTAGCAAATCAGCAACTTATTTTGAAATTATAAACGGGCACTCCGTCAACCTTGCCAAACTCCACGATGACAGTGACATCATGATCATTTGCCATCACACTTTCTTGTGGAAGTATCGTGGTATTTTTGAGTCCTATAAAGCTCTCGAACCCACACGACACCAGTTTGCAGGGACTAGCTGAATAGTGTTTTTTAAATATTTAACTTAAATACCCACATGTGTAAAAACTAGTGGGTAACAGAAATTTGAATACCCAGATAGAAATACTGATACCCAATGATTTTAAAATGCATGGGTAAAATACCCACAACACCAAAAGCTTATCTGGAGCTCTGTCCTATAAACATGTTCATCCTATACATGGAGTTGGGTTAGTACTTGAAGAAGCAGAAATACTTTACAAAGGACCATTCCAATGGCCCTGACCTTCAATGAAGGTCACTTGAAAGCTTCAACACCCCCAACTGAAGAATGATATGTACTAGTGGTGCATCGATTGATCATAGGACATGTTTACTGATTGTTTATCTGCCGAAATTAGCTGAGTAAAGGCCATTACTAGGGTTCAAAATAACTGCTGAATGGCATAGATCTCATTTCTTGTATATTTTCCTATTTCTGACAACCAGCGCTAGAAATTAGCACTAGTCCTATAGTCCTTGACAAATGTCACATCCAAGATTATTGCACTTATATAGCGACGTGCATGTACGTGTGTGTGTTTGTGTGGCTGCTTGTACTAGTCCGGACTGATGCCGATGAATATCCACTCAGACACAGTATACTGACTCCGAGCCGACCAGTCCTTGTTTTAGCCCCTTAATGCCGAGTGCCAGACAGGGTAACAACAAGTACCATCTTTTAACGTCTTTTGGTATGACACGATGGTATGATCGAACCCCAGACCTTCCGCTCTCCGGGCAGACGCTCTACCACTAGACCGTGGAGGTGGTCTTGTTTTTAAGGGTTTTGCTTTATGTTACCATTATAAGGTCTAGTGGACTAAACATGTTTGTTTCTATTGCTGACAACTGGTAGTTTTTAAGCATCTAAAGTCTTTTTCATACAAAGATTGAATCATCATCTTAACCCAGAATACCATATGTACACAAAAATCACCTTTATTCAGTGATACAACAATTTGAAGGATGAGAATGGGTAAGGAGCGGTGAAATACTCGTCAATAAAGTGAACATGATTTCTCTGGAGTCAATACGCCATGTGATCCTTACCCATCTGTAGATTTGAAACTTCTTTATCTTGGGGCTGAGTTGTGGGGCCGCAGCTGCAGCAGTCTGGGCCAGCCTTGTCTGAAACAATCAAAACAAGGGGGAATAATCAGTCATGGACTAGACACCGATGCTTCCATTAAACTGACATAATCAGACAGCTGTGTCATCAATTTTTAACATATTGTTTATCTTGTGATGGGTGAGGTGAGGTGAAATGGGGTTTAACGTCGCGTCCAAGATTATTGCACTTATATAGCGATGTGCATGTACGTGTGTGTGTGTTTGTGTGGCTGCTTGTACAAGTCCAGACTGATGCCGATTTATAGTGCTAGCTCACTGAGATACCATGCCGCAGTTTAACATGAATACCCTACTCAGACACAGTATACTGACTCCGAGCCGACCAGTCCTTGTTTTAGCTCCTTAATGCCGAGCGCCAGACAGGGTAACAACAAGTACCATCTTTTAACGTCTTTTGGTATGACGCGGGCGGGGATCGAACCCCTGACCTTCCGCTCTCCGGACGGACGCTCTACCACTAGACCACGGAGGTGGTCTCTTTTGATGGGAATCATATGAATAAGGTGTGGTGGTTTGGACTGATTGCATGGAAATTGTGAATTGTCACATGAATTGTCACTTGCATTCAGTACTGACACTCAGATTCATTTTAAGTAAAATATATGTGGGTATTAATTCTGTAAGCTGATGAGAAATTCTGAGAAAAAACAGGGGAAGTTTCGCGGTGTGGGGGAAATTTGTCGAGTCATGGAAATACCTTTTTTTTCACAAAACTGTCGACAACAGAACTGACAAAAATATCCGCTATCGAGTTGAGTTGATGTCTATTAATAGATGTAGTAGTTCCCTTACACATGTTTGCACATAAAAACTTATTTTTAGATGCTATGTTAGACTAACATCTAGTCTCTGAAATGAACACATCTTACATAAAAAAACAGTTTATCTTAATAAAAATATAATAAAAAGGAGCCCAGTAACTCTCTTCATTTTACTGCTAGACTTGCCAAACATTATATACTTGCATGGGCTGTATTTCATATATATTTGTATCAGGGTCTGTAAGACAGACTAATGTTATGTTACAAGCAATACAATTGGTCGGATGAAATGACATCAAGGGTGAAGAAAGGAGAGTTTGACAGGTTGCTATATACAGGAAAAGGTGCGCATTACTGTATAAACTGGGTGAAATCGTATCTGAAACATTCAAATATTACAGATTTTAACTTTTAGAACATATTTATGCTCGAATTCCTTATTGTTCAAGTCAAATGTAACGGGACAAAAAAGCTTACAAAGATGGACGAAATTACCCCATTATATTTTTCGAGGCATATACTTTATTAGGAATGAAAATGGACTTTGAAATATATTGAAAAGCAGAAAGTAATAGCCTAGATCTACTTATGAAAAGTAAGACTTGAGTAAACATGAAAATGAATAAATATAATATGTCACATGAGCTAAATTAAAAACGAAAACATTATAATAGATTCAATCAAAGTTTAATTATTGACATGACATGACACAATAGGCCCAATAGCGATGGTGATATGTTGAATCAAACTTAACAAACCCACACAAACAAAATACATTTAACTTCAGGTGAATCATGCCCTGTAATTATAAAATGAAGGGAACTTACGAAGTTCACATTCACAATCAAGAAACTCTTGACCAAGAAGGCCCTAAACGTGTGGGCACTTTGGACTTACCAAAACAAAGCCTGGATGGAGGACGTCCTTGGCCAAGAATAGCTACTCTTGGGTTTCTATTTTCATTGGGTTCTTATATTTTTCATTGGGTAACCAGTATTTTCTCCCTTGTCTATTCATCACTCTATTGGGTTTTTCCCATAATTAGTGAACATCTTAAGATTAAAAAAAAGAAAGAAAGAATGTTTTGGATGTATATATAACTGTTCTAAATATATATAGGCTTTGACTCAGAAAGTAAATTAGCTCGTAATAGTTTTTCGGAAATTAGCTTCTTTGTACGCATGCTGAAAAAGCTTCATTGTGTTTACGCATGCCGTTTTTGTACATTATTTCGTTTAAACTTTAATGCATGAATTTCTGAACGCATGATGAGCCAGGGATTTATCTTAGATTCCAAATTGGGGGAAATATTGTGACATGGTCCAAAATAGGATTTTAAAAAAAATAATGCTTGTTTGCTAATAGATCTAGATTTATGAGTAGATTTATGTCATTCAAAGTAAATATGAAAAGAAAAGTTTGAAATAATTTGTTGATGGTTATTCATATGGCAATATTAGTCTAATATTCGCGAAAACTGCCAACTCGTTGATACATGCTCAAATACTGACAACAATTAACCATATATTTACCTGAATTCCCAAAAGAAATTTTTACATAAGTTACAACAAATTAGGTACAAGGCCAAGGTCATTTCCCGATCTGACCAAAGTGACAACATACAATGTTCGAGAAGCCTTAGTGAAATATTTGCTACGTCTGCCAGAATAAAGACTTCTTTAAAACGATAAGACATTCGTATGATACCCATATCAGTACCTGAAGCAGCTGGGGAAGGGCCTTCCGAAGAGGCGAAATTCTCGTGAATAGGTTTCTGCCAGCCATGTCAGTGTGCGAGCTCAGCCCTCTTTCATAACGTGAGTTATCTCCCTTTCTATTTACTCCGGCAAGCTCCTTCCCAGCGCGTGACACCTTCGTTACACTTAACAACACTGCCACAGGCTCATTTGCATATCACGTGACCAGACTTTTCTCTTGTTTGTAAACAAACGCGCTTTTTCAGGAATCAGTATAGAACGGACTAACGCAAATCTTTGGGGGCGCTTTACATATTGTTTTGCACAATTATATAGATATGCTGCGCCAGTGAGTTGCATGACACCATATATTTATACATCGAAGTGACCGTATCGCTAGCTCTCCGTAGGGCTTCGATGACAGTACGTGGAGCCGTACAACCAATGTAAACAAAGGATAACTACGCAAAAACAAGTAGATTTTCACGTATTAGAATACTTTCTTAATGAAGCGTAACCATTCTTTGACATTTGTTTTTGAAAATTTGTAGATTTGTCAAACATGAAACGGTTGAATGAACTGTGAAAGATGTGACGAATCGTCACATGGCGCTGGCCTGTGGCAGAGGTACTATGCATTCGTCACCACTCGCCCCTTTCCGTAACCTGCAAGAACACTCGTCCCCCTATCGATGAATGTTATGTGCGAAAATACGACAAACCAATCAGAATGCGCGTATGATTTCAAGTTCTTCGTCAAAGAATCCCTCAGAAATATTTTTTATTTTACATATGTCTTGCATCTAAAAATATACCCAAGACACAGTTCAAGGGGCACTGATCTAACGCAATTCCCCGGGACTGGTTGTTGCCTTTGTTATTGTTTCCTCCAGTGAGTACCCGGATGAATAGCAGAAATCTAGACTAGTTCGCGACCACTGTTGCGCCATTCGTAAGCGCATTAGTCACTTGTATGGGTAGTAATAAGGGCGTATGGTCACATTGATCGACAAAATGAAATACAGTTTTCGAGATAATAAGGAAATGTAGGTATCTCTGTGGGTAGCATCGGTAATGGTGACGAAGTTTTGATAAGTCACTTGCTTGGTAATTTTGCGATTTTCGTTTCCACTATTTTGACTTGCAACACAAAGTAAATATTTCACCTGAGCATTGCCTTTTTTTTTTTAGTGTGTATATTTCTTTACTGTCAAAATATGTAACATTTTCAAATTTATTAAACGCCTAAATATTCAGTTATTTTACAAAGTGACTGAAAAACATTTCCATCTGTATTATTATGATAACGAATTCCAAACATTTTGATGTTTAATGTCATCACCAAGAGACTGAAAATGTTAAATTGAAAAGTACATTTCTATGTTGTTTGGCTTCTAATCCTACATAATAATCTGTTGTGATGTTTGTAGGCCCTTTTGATCGTCTTAATCAATCTGGACCGATTTTTTAGTCAAAATGACTGAAATATTTACACATTTTATAAATTGCCTGAGAGAATCACATTTTACAAATTGACGGTAATATATACACGCTTACAAAGGAAAAGACCTGTGAAAACAACGTCTATCGCGCATTGAAGAATTTCCCAACCAATACGTAGAGAAACAAGGACGAATCGGTTCAATGCTACAGCAAATGAAGGAAAACAAAATGCAAATACCATAATTACAACCTACCAAATTTATGTGTATAATTTTTGGGCAGCTTCCTTGTTCGAGGAATGTATCCGTGAATATCCACACAAAGGAACAATATCCCACTTGTCTGAAGCTATACAAAGAAACGTATTCGATGTCACGTATCTCTGTAACAATCAAATATTTTAAAAGATATATATCGTTTCGGGATATTATAACCCGTGTTCGTTTCTCAACTGATCACTTGGATTGTTTCAGGTGTTTCATATAGGTGTCAAGTCTCAAGGGTCGGCTGAGAAAGCCCACGTGACAACTATTTTCATAACGTCCACGGTTCCTAAAAATTCTATTGAGTGATAGATAACAATGATCAATCAATCAACGTATTATCAGTTAACCCTTTGAACAAAGTATGTTGTTTTTACATCGGCACTTCACGCCATGATATGAGTGTATTCCCTTTGTTTTAGTAAACCTAGACATGTAAACACTCACTTTTGACATATCCACTGTGCAAGATAACGGTGATTAATCAATCAACGTATTTCCTGTTAATCCTTTGATGACTAGGAACGATCCGTTGATTTACAAAAAGAAGCAAATCTACTGATCATTCACCTCTTGCTGGTCTGCCACGTGCATATTACATGACACACATTTCACCTCACTTCAAACCTTGATGTAGATTGAATAATTACCCTAGACACAATAAATGCCAAATGGGAACCTTTGTCAGGTAATCTAAGTGGTGCTACCACTAATTGTACCTGTAATAAATTCATTAACTGAGCATCAAGTGAGTGACGACAAATACACAAGTGTAGGGTTATAAGAGAAAACGTGGATGACAACAAGAGAGTAATAATCGTATTATCGACGCAATCCGAAATCCGAAAATGCTTTCACTGCATGAATACTTTTTTAGTATTAAACTATAACCATCTGGGGTATTTCCAAATGACGACATCCGATGAACTCCGCCTTTCTTTTTGTCTGTTTGTTTAGGCTGAAGAAATTAATTAACATGCGCCCTTTGTCGAAATCTTTACAGACCACGGTTAACCAATCAGTGTTTATGCAAAAATGCGTAAAACAAATATTGCCACCAGCCTCCGGGTTTATTTAGCTGTCCTTGCAGACGGTAGCCCAGTCTCTGGTCACGCTCAGTTGCGTTGCGTATCATCCGGGTACTCACGGGAAAAAAAACAATAACAAAGGCAACAACCAGTCCGGGGAATTGCGTTAGATCAGTGCCCCTTTAAATGTGTTCAATCATACTGTATAATTCCACATGTCTCGATGTGCTTTAAATTGCATTTGAAATATATATAATATATGGGGAAATAAATGTGAACCATTACGCAACGAGTTGACAATTGTTTTAGGTATGCCCGTCTGCGCTAAGACGGAACCCGGTCGCAAAAATGGCCATGAGAGGGGCACGAGTCGCTATTCGGCTTGTCTCGGAATAACACGAGTTGGGTCACGAATGAGGTACTTGCATGGCTTGCTGGCTGCCTGAGTAGGAGAGTGTGGAAAGCGGAGCAAGAGCAGCGTCACCAAGCGGAGGATCCGGGAACCAGTCTATGCTAAAGGCCCCCATAGTGACGTCACAACCCCTGTCACAGGAAGTGAAAAATGCTTGGCTCTACACCTACCTCATATAAACCTTTTATTACAAATCCTATATGAACATGTAATGTTTTCATATATTTCCCATTTCCACAGATGTCAATTTATCAAAATAATACCTAAATATAACCCATCCATGTACTGTAGAGGCTGTGAGAACATGTTTATTGAAGTCACGTGACCTCAAAATATTCTCTCACAGGGGAGAAGTCATTCACCAAAATATGGGTTCCATCTATCTTAAGGGGAGGAGGGACCAATTCCTATGCTTCCTGCAATCACTGATCACTAAGCTTACTATATCCAACTTAAAATAGGAGGAGCTACAACTGTAAACATGTTTGTATTTGGATAAAAGACAGTTCCCAGTTTCCCCCACGAAGTGACCAAGACGTCCCTCACAGAGCGTCCAGAAACATAAATAAATCTGGCACCTTACTGATGGCATCACATTCTAGTGATAGATGTTACTTTTGGGCAGCTTCATACCGTTTGTTTAAATTTGTGTTGACTGATATGTCATTGATGGTCTAATTTGTATGTCAGGGGTCTAAACTGATTGTTTACAGGTTGTGGTGTTTGACATTTGGTTCTTTCTGTCTTAAGCTGTCTGGACATAGTTTGTCACTGTTATCACACTGAACAGACATTTGCGCTTAAATAAATCAGAACTTAAATCTCAAATATGTATTGGTTTATTAGTTTTAATTAGGGAAATTAACCCTTCACAGCACCGGAAGTAGTCAAGATTTTAGTCACGTGACCTCTATCAGTAAAATGATTGGCTCAACCCTATCGTCTGCTGTAGCAGTATACTACTTTTACTGTTGTGGTGGACGATTACTTTTGGATTATACCTTAGCTATTGCATTTTTATGCTCAGTCATGGCTAAATCATGTGTTTCAACTGTTATTTTCTTAACACTCACTTGGAATACCAGTCTCTAACTAACTATTTATCATGATGCGACTTCCAACTGACACCACTGAAGATTTGTCAAGAAAGGTATGAACATATTGGAATTCTGACGCCTCTAAAACTAATGAAGTGGAAAATATCAAGAGTACATTAGTACCAATAAGGCTTGTGTATGCATTTATATTATGTAGAACTTAAAACGCTTGTGGATTTTTGCATCTTGTGAATGTATGTGCATTTATGCCATCCAAAAAGTCAGAAAAAAATAGAAACAAAAGAAGGAATAATGGTATTCCTCCTGAGAAGAAATGTAAGACATCGTATCATGATGGTAGCCCATGTCGTCCCTGTCAGGTATGCATACAGTTGGGACAATTTTAAAAAAGATGATCCTCATCATGAAATGAATAAACCTTATTATCCAGGTGAAAAGCATTAATATCCAGTGAATATATTTCGTAACACGGAAAACTAATAAAAGTACCAAAACACAGTTATTTTAGTAGAAACCTTTGTTTAACAACTCCAGTTGACAGAGACTATAGAGTGAATATGTCATCTGCTAGCAAATTGTATTTACTGTTTGTAGGTTGCACTTGAGAACGAGAATTGTTTTTTACGGGAAAAGATATCAACTACAAAATTGAGGCTAAGCTCGCACACTGAAAGGCGACTATGCGTGTCGTAAGATGCAACTAACGGAATCGAGTGGTCAGACTCGCTGACTTGGTTGATGCATGTCATCATATCCCAAGTGCGTGGATCGATGACTATGATGCCTATACATGTATAACTGGAGTGTCTGGTCCAGACTCGATTATTTAAAGACCGCCGTCATATGGATGGTTAAACAACAAACAAACAAATATTCAAATATAAAGCACGTAATGGTATCATTTTGGGTGTAAAAAGAGGGACAGAAGAGAGTAAACGGGTTTTAAGAAAGGTTATAGTGACCTTGGGATTTGA